GATATCACAACATCGGACAGATTCGACTGAGTATGGAATCTAGGCACTTTCAATCCTCTATGAGAATCACTCGTCCATGAAGATCATTTTATATAAAGTTTATATACATTCTAATATTAAACATTAGGGTGTAATATAAATGCAAATATAACTGTCTCTACACTCTCTATAACTGTACTACAATGCTACGAATGTGATCACATAAAAGTAGGTGTTACTCAACCACGCCGTGACCAACCCTTGAGAAAGTTGCTTAACAACAACGATCGCGGGACGCTTATCCACTACGCCACCGAACTACTTCTAATAAACATAACCATAATATAAATAATACAGCAGCATAATCTTAAAATTTAAAATTGGAATGACTGACTCGATTCTATATCGGTTCATCGATTAACCAGATAGAATCTCTTTGCATCTATTTCAATTTGATTTTATAGCATGGACCATTAGCTACGGGCAGTCAAGATGGCGTCAATGTTCTAAAAGTGTGTGCCAGTGTGACGTCGCTCGTCGCTCACTAAATTGCTGGAGATCTAGTCTATCTAGCCTCACACCTGATTTGATTGTTCCGGCTGACCTTCTTGTTATGTAAGCTACTGAAACAACATTTTATATTATTTGGATAAATTATTTCAGGAACAAATAGCTATTTAAATATACATACTCAAGTTTTTATCTTAGAAGAAATCCGACCAGTATCGAATCTTGGATCTCAGATATGGGACCATCTATGAAATTGACATGGGAACCACTCTATCAAAAAGCCTGACAAATATTATAAATATTGAAACTATCCATTATAAATTTTTTTCATTACAATTATGGATATCCATGACTATGAATATCCATAAGAATTTTCAAATCATAGAATTACATCCATTCCTAAAATTTCTCTTCTTAAAAAAATATTTCTGGAAATCTTTTTTCCTAGTATTACACTTCACTTTTTTTACTTATATTTTAAATAAAGAGTAACATCTGTTAAGTTTTGAAAATCAAGCCGCTGAATCGGTTGCGTTGATTGATATGCAGATATAAGACAAGTTTTTTTTAATACTTTCGGACTCCACATTGATGCAATCGTAGGTTAAAACTAGTATTTGGTATTTATCTATTTCATACTAACTGCTTTCCCGCAACTTCGCCCGCTTAAATTATAGCCTATATCCATAAATCATCCGTAGATGATGTAGCTTCCCGTATGATCGGAGGAAGATTACCAAGTTAGACACTTCAACTCTTTATAAATTAGTAATTATTTTATATTAGAAAAGATTGTATTGTAACGATTGTATTATTATCTATTGAACGATAAAAGCAAGCTCTTTAATAATTAAGTTAAACTTAACCTTATATATTTTAGAGTTAAATTTCTCAAATTATTTTTTTAACTTTTAAAATGATTTGAATACTGTTCCAGGGACCTTGGATCTAACAAATTGCGGACGTTGCACAAAACTACATTCAAAGGCATGCGGTCGCTCTCAGAGCTCGATATATTCGATAATCGTGTCGAATATTTGCCAGCTGGCATATTTGATTCGTTGGTTAATCTCAGAATTTTGTCAGTAGCAATTCATATTATTTGACCTCTTATCACAAAAGTAATATGTATATGCACGTCATATAACATAAAATGTATTTTCTTAACGCATTTTAAGATTCGGTGATAGCAATTTTGTTTCACTAACTAGACTAAATAAGGTTTAGTCCTGTCAAATTGTGTTTTCAATTGTTAAAATAACAAAGGAAACTTATATGTAATATACCGAAATTATAGTTTTTTTTTTATTACATATGACTATGGAATAACGTTAAATGAAACTTTGACTTAAAAGTGGTTCAGAATTGACACTAGTGTCATAGTTTTTATTTTTAATTCTTACAGAGTCCAGAATATAGTAAAAAAACGTTTGAAGAATTATTACTTTTGTGGTAACCCGATATACACATTTATGTATTATTAAGTGAAAAACATTTTCATTTTATAATAGGTTGGGGAAAAAGTTACTTCGCATTTTATATGAAAATTCAAAACATTTTTTTAATGAGTACATTTAGATTTAACTAAAGTATGTAGATACCATTTTGCCATTTCGTTGGTAGGGACGTGATCCTAATGCTCCAGAAATTTTGGAGTTTCTGATCAAAAAACCGCACCAAGTGGCTGTGGCAGTCTTCGCGTGATGTTAACCTACCACTACCTAGAGAATTCAGATGAGACCGAAACAGGTGGAAATCTGAAGGTGCAAGATCAGGACTATACGGCGGATGTATTAACACCTCCCGGCAAAACATTTTTACTTCTTTTGTAATGAAATTTTAAAATGTATCGAATCTTAAAAACATATGAAATCACACATTTTTATTAATTCGATTTCGGAGTTATCTTCTTTATAATTGAAACTTTTTAGTGATACCGGATCCAATCAGATACAAATGGTTTAGGCAGAAAGATTTTATTACAAGTTTATGCTCACTATATGCGAAGAGACCTTTTCCCCAACCTAATATATTAAATATTTGCCTAATAGTCCATGTCTAAAAGAAATTTTCATCTTATCGGTGTGTATTACTATTCTCATTGTATGTTTATTTTTAATATATGCTGGATATTTCCTACAAAAAGCAAAGATCAGATATGTTGAAGCGTTAAGCAATCATATATGGTAAAATATGTCAAATACGTCAAGAAAATGATGGGCCAAACCATGGCAAACGCCAAACGCCATCACTCAACACGCTTGGCAAGTGCACTAGTGCATTTCGTGCATCCTTTATTTGTGCTAAAAACTAACGGCCACGTCGATATAAGTCTAGTGGCTTCATAATCTAATGAACTTACTTACGAATTGGACATCTATCTATGAAATTAAACAGCGATAAAAGGCAGCCCTTGAAGAGTTTCTTGCCGGTTCTTCTCAGAATAAGGCATCCCGCCTTAGATTTGCGAAGTGATGGCATAACTTTTGACTTTCACAAGTGCTCGTAACAGCAAAATTGAATAAACAATATTGAATTTAGATGTGATCAATAGCAACCACACACAGCGTTTTGTCTGATATATGTCGTCTGATTGCCAAGCGTGTCAAACGAACATAAGAATGATATATAACAATCAACTTCAAATAATAAATACAAACCTTTTCAGAAGACTACAAAGAAATTACTTAGAAGAAATTCACAGCGAAGCATTTCGAGCTACAAAGAAATTGTTTCATGTTGATTTGTCATACAATTATTTATATACACTTCCAGAAATGTTGTTCGCTAATAATTCAATTTTAGAAACGATCGATTTATCAAACAATCAAATAATGTATGTCCCAGCGGACAGTTTTGTGGGGCTGGACTCGCTTACAATATTAGATTTGTCAAAGAACAAAATCCAGAAGATAGAATATGGAACTTTTGTAATAAAAACACTTCAGATCCTTAAGTTGTCTGAAAACCGTATAAGTAATATTACTGAAAATGCCTTCGAGAATCTAATTTCATTAGAAACTTTGCTGCTTGATAAAAATAAATTGCAATATATTCCCAGCCGTTTATTCTACGGTTTGAAGTGCTTGACTTATTTGGACTTATCTCATAATAATTTAATTAGTGTAAGTTGTTTTTAGCAATTATTTATTCTAACTTGTTGATTTTTTGGATTGCTTCTATATATTTCAGTTATGATGCGTAATTATGATTATCTGAATCAATAGATTAAATTCATTTACTGTGATAAGAATGATTGCCAAACATAGCACTACTCAATGAGAGTAGGCGAATGCCTTTTCTATATACACATCATCCTAAAGGTTAGATGACCGCCCCGCGTGAATGGGTTTCATATATTTAGCATGGTTATCCTACAACTATGACGAGTTCTGCCTGCTTCGATGTTGGTAGTAAAACGAAAAGGCTGACTAGGCTTGAAAAGCATATTTATGGTAAAGACAAAAACACCGATTCTAGATTTTCCTTATAAGCTGGACCTTATGCCCAATTTCATCGACATCCCCTAAACTGTTACATAACTATGTGTCCGTTAAAATAATAAGACCCCTAGATGATCCCCTACATTAAAATATGTTTCACCAACTGAACAGATCACTTAGTAGGGAACCCATATGTATGTGACAGAATTTTTTCATTATGAAGGATGTGATAACCGTAACTTTTAACCGATTATTATTTTAATTCTGTATAACATATGATTGAAGCTGTTTCAATGTATGGTAATATATATTAATATAATAATTTTTGGTTTTGATGAAGTAAAAATAAATAATGAAATCGTCTTTTCCATAAATCAGGGCTGAATAATTGAACTCCTTTGCGTTATATACAATGTTTTATGAACAGTCGAAATGTCTGTACTTTTATTGTGTTTTTTATTTTAATTTTGTGTTTTTTTTAATATCCAAGACGTGTTATCCGCATATCTCTAACGAAGTACTAAATAATTCACAAATGTAGGTATCTATTCAGCTAAAAACTTTTGCGTTTTGTGTATTACTTTCAATGCTATTGTATTTGTAAGAACCTTTCTTTATTACGAATTTCTTATTGTGAATCTTCGTGAATAGATTTTAGTTTTTTAAGGTTTTGTTTTAAAAAACTAAAACATTTCTTACCTATTGTCATGAAAATATAAATTCTAATATAAATAAAATACTATTCTTTGATAATCTATATCGTTTAAAAAAGTCCACGTTGTCGTATTTATTGAAATAATCCGATCGTCCCCGCTGCCGCTTAAATAATGTATTTCCTGATAATAAATCGGCAATTCCGAAACTTTCTACAAAATCAAATATTTCGGTATCCATTGTCTAAACTCCATAACAAATATTTTAACTCTGCGTGACCACTATCTCATAGTAAAACGCTCTAATAAAATGTCACATAACTTTATGGGCTAAATATTCGGTCCCCTAAACTTAGAAGTCCTTTTAGAACCGTAGAGGGCCCCTAAGCGTTGGTGAAACGAAATAACGTAGTTAGGGATCACCTAATCAGGTTCAGTAGTCCCCTTAATTTAGGTAATGTTGGTGAAATCGGACATTAGTCTCATAATTATTGATAATTTACTTTTATTTTACACTGGCTATTACATAATATTTTGAAATATTAATTTCAAATAACGTTATTGGCAGAATTTTCGCGAACTGACATTCAAAAAGAGCATATTGTGTTTCTCAATATTTTCAAATCACAAAAACGAATAACAAAAAAAGAAATAATCTTAATGATCAGAGACAAAAAGTTTGGATGTAGGAATCTAGGAGGAAATAAACCGTTATCAAATACCACATCGAGTAAATTACTTCATAACTACCTACTACATAAATGAGCTACATAAAGCAAATTCACTATTTTTCATCATTTTTGAAACAACAAATCAAATGAATAAATTTTCAATATCGAAATTAGTAATTTTATAATCTGATATTCAACTATTGTGATTCATTATCGTAGATTATGCGATAATTGAAGTTAGCCATAATCGCGCATCGCTACGTTCTATGTTTCATTTTCAAAGCAAAGTTTTTATTTTCTATATAAAATAATATACGAATAATATTTTTAAATAAATAAATTTATAGTATCATTCTTTTCACAGTTAACAGGAGTTGAATTCGAAAACCTACAAATGTTACACAATTTAGACTTAAGAGAAAACTCTTTGACGGAAATACCAGACTTTACATTTTCCAAATGCCGAAACCTGGAGAAATTGGATTTATCCAAGAACAAATTGCGATTCCTGAATATGACAACATTTCACGGATTAGACAACCTTACGTCACTTCTCCTATCTGATAATAAATTGCATGAAGTACATTTCAAAACTTTTGCTACTTTAAAAACTTTGACTACTCTGTAAGTATTTGAATTATATTTGTTATTCTGGAATGATTTTCAAAATGATGTTTAAAAAAACAATTTTATTATAATATTACAGGTACATAGATGACAACTTATTTCCCTCATTGCCGTCAAGGACTTTAGATTATATGCCAAAACTGGCGATAGTGAAACTATCTGGGAATCCCTGGCACTGCGATTGCCACGTTTTATATATATCAGCGTAAGGGTTTATAATACTTTCTTGATAAATAAAGACCTAAAATGTATAAAGCAAATCAATATTATGAAAAAAAATGAATTCGATGTATTGATAGGAAACATCGATTATAATAAATTTAAAATTTCGATAAGAATGTTCTTATTGATAAAATTACTGAGATTACAATCTTCTGACAGAAATGTCACAAGTTAAAATCTAAAAATATTTAATATAATCATTTTGTAGTGATTAAAGAAATAGACCGAAAATTTACACTCTCTACCTACCCCTGTGATCTCCAAAACTACAGCGGCAAAAATTTTTGAAAAATACAAAAATATTTATAATTTTTCGCCTATAAATTACAGGAAAACCTACTTAAACAGTTGATTTTTAAAACCCTCTATGCATGAAACCGACTCGCTCTTGACCGTTATATTTATATTTCAATTTTATTGTCCCTTTAATATTTGTACTTCGCTTTGTTTGCAGGGAATTATTCTACGAATATTGTTTAAGGTTAAATGCTAATAGTTAAATGCCATACAAAACAATTAAAACAGCGAGGCGAAGGATTTCCATTAACATACAAATAGTTTGCTTCTTCGATTTTCGCAAGAAGAAAGTTTTATTTAAACTTAATCGTCTATGACAAAGAATATTGAATTAGATTCAAGAATTATTCGTTTTGATTTGAATTTTTATTTCAAGTAAAATTTGGGTACACAGTTGATTGTTTAAACTAATTCTTCATTTACCACGCACCTCCAAGCATTTAACATGAAAATTACGGCTTGCTATTGTAAAGTTATAAAGTGATTAGGGATACAACGTCTTATCCATTAATATGCATGACAACAACATTGTTAAGGCATATATCCACATGGTGAGGCTGTCTCGTGAGACATGCTTCGCGAAGCAGTCTTGCCGTATGGAGACGAGTTTGCCTCGTGACCCAAAAAAAACTTATAAGATGCGACCGCCTCTTTCGCCATTGCTATAACATTTTATTGCCTTTTTCTGAATATGGATTTTTTTTATAAGGATATGTTTATTACAATGATTTTAATTATTTAAGTATGAAATGACCCACCACGCAGGCCTAGTGCGGATTAATGGCTGCAGATGCAGCCGGGACCAACGGTTTGACGTGCCTTCCGAAGCACGGAGGAGCTCAAGATTTTGATCACCCATCCTATATCCCCTCGCGAAAGTTGCTTAACAACCGTATAGCAGACTAAACGCTTAAACCACTGGGTTATCGAGAAATGAATAAATTCATAACAATTATTACAGGTGGGTGCGTCTTAATGAAATGAAGATTTGGGACTACTCCCCTACTTGCTCGTCACCGTGGTTTCTGGAAGGTCATTTTCTGAAAAAATTGAAATTCCCTGAGCTGTGTGCTGGACAATGGGCCAGTATGGTAAATCTATCGCCGCGGCTCCCCATACAGCAATTGTTGGCGCTAAATGTGTCGGTGAACAGAAAACCTCAAGATAGCATGGAGCAAAATCATGACGTCACAACTGTTGACACGTGGCATTAATATGAAAATATTTTTAAGGTTACCACCTAAGCGGGTCCACAGATTTTTTAACACCGAACTATTCAGTCGACCAGGGGACTCCTGCGAGTATTTTAATAAGAATTTTCGTTCTCAGACTTTTTTAGATATAACCTTACCAGAGGTATATCTCAAAACAATCTATTTAATGTAACAGAAATTATAATATTTTATTTTTATGTGAAATAAAAACTATTTGTAATTCAGTTCTATGTTTGTGAGTGTGTTTTTTTATAGTTAATATTTTGTTAGGGAACTTCAGAGCTTGGTAATACATACAGCTGGTCAACTGTTCAAGTCTCCCGGATAACCCCTAATAATTATCAAAATTTATGGAAAGTAATCAACATTCCACTTTCTACATTTGTGTCATTATCAATAATAGCATTCAAATAAAATGATATAGTTTTATCAATGATAAAATATTATCAGATAAGAAATTCAGTGATTTTAAAATAAAGTAATTGCATACCACTTTGTATTAGGTAAATAAAGATAATGAAAATAGGAAATGTAACTAATAATAATGTTTAAGTCTCATATGTTAGGCCTCCCTGAAGGCCAAATAGTATGTAGCTATGAAAGTCATCAATAGCGCAGTTTTTCTTCCTGGAAGTATTTCTTGTCTGCAATATAATGGTTGTATTAAAAAGATCGAGTAACTCGGCGGCGTAGTGGATAAACGGCGCGGCAAGGTCCGGTCGCGGGATGGGTGATCAAAATACTGTTATCTCGATCTACTCCTTGCTTCGGAAGGCACGTCAAGCCGTTGGTCACGGCTGCATTTGCAGTCGATAAAACTCCAAACCGTATTGGAAGGGTCATGGCCCATCCTTTTAACCTTCCAAAAAGAAGGCCTGAGCCCTCCAGTGCGGACGTAAAAAGGCTGATGATGATAATGAAGAGAAAAAAACTAACAGAATATAAACCAAATGGAAATATAGTCAATTTTATTATTCTGGATTACAGTCAACTTTATCGTGCTCTGTCCTGCTCTAAGATATTAAAGTAAGAAAGTTAAAGCAGGACAGATGACGAAATTATAATCTCTCGCTTCCCATATACGAGACCCTATCGAACAATAAAAATACGTCTCATCATTTTTACAATTTGCATAGTGATGGTTCCATTGTTTTTGTTCTAATAATTATGACCTGGCATGCGACCGCTCTCTAGCCTTGATTCTAGCCATAGGGTACGACTTTCAGTACTAATCATACATAAAAACCTTCGATCTTCTTCTAATAGACTACTTATATGTCCTGCTCATCACTTTGAAATCATTCACTCTTCCCTTTTTGTTAAAGCCATTCTCCAATGGAATGCACTACCAACAGACATAAGAATGTACCCCAGTCGATTTGCTTTTAAAACGAAGTTGCGCGATTTCATATTAAATCAGATAGAATCATAAAAATTGTTATCTCATATCTACTAAGTTTCATATTCATTCAAGTATGTACTTGTATTTATATTAATATATATTGTATTATATACCTACATGTATGAAATATATGTGTAGTTATATATTCTCTTCCTTATTATATGTGTTTGTGTAATGTTCTTAAAAAGGTTTTATTTTTCAACGATTACTGTTGCCTTAATCATTTATTTTTTTCTCCATATTGCCTAAAGATTGACTGACAGAGAACGTCTGAGGCATCAAGCCCCCTTTGTACGATTGTGTATAACGAGTTAAATAATAATAATGTTATCGATGTTAGAACAAAATTCCGCTTCATGTTACTACTTTGACGACTCCGTCTTTCGTTGGTCTTTCGGTGGATAAACGAGTAAGTTGGTAGCACTGCTGTCGATCCATAACCATCATTATTTATGTTTTATTCGTTTGCTATTAAAGTAGATGTCAAAATAGTAAAATAAAATAAAATATCGATATAATATCGCGACATATCTTATGGCTAGAATGATGGCTAGAGAGTTAGGCGATCGTGCCCCAGAACTATATGAATGAAAACGTAACAAGTCAAGTTATGATTAGAGTGCTACTAGACAGTAGAATCCTGGATTCAGACGCAGGACTACAGACCAAACTTCACTTCAATATATGTAGCATGCTTTTAACTAATCTATTTTGACGGTGTATAGTAAAATAGAGCATGATCAAGTTCATGATAGGTGTACGAGAAAACCCGTACATTAAGTATAAAGCAGCCTTGAGCGTCATCAGTAGTTTACTTGAGTGCCTCGTTTATTGACCAAGTTTACCTGCAGCAGTAATATTTTATTAATATAATATCGGACAAAATCACACGCATTGATCCGATTCCGAGGTAAGTAGCTTAGGCACTTTTGTTATGGATATCAGAAACAACGGGGGGGATACAAATATATACGTAATATAAATAGAAAACACCCAGACACAGAACAGACATAATTGTTAATCACAAAAATGTTTGTCCTGGGTGGGGATCGAACCCACGGCACCCGGCGTAATATTACTTTATCTACGGTTTTCCCCACTTACAGCAACTTTAAAGTATAGATTTCCCCTACGTTTCATAATGGATGTAATTTTAAGTATAGGTACACCGTGATTACACCCAATGAGTGTCAAAATTAATCTATTTTATGATATGGAAAAACGATATCGAGCCGTAGCCAGCCGCCATATTTGTAGCTGTAAGCAAATCGAAATGACACTATCTTTTATTTTTATTATGTTTATGCTTAGGATCAATTAAGTGATAAGTCGTAATGACGTCAATTTCAACATTAGCTAGATAGTACTAATTTCAGAATATGGCGAAACGAAATAAGAAAATAAATCCCAAAAAAATAACTATTATAAGTCGAAATTTTAGGACTTCATATTATAAGTACATATAATAATATAATAAGCGGAAGAAATTTTTATTTGAACGCATTAATCTCCGTCTGTACCAGTCAATTTTGTGAATTTTCTTTTGCATTTGATCGTCCAATTTGCGGGCACAATTGTAGGCGATTTATTATCACGCTTTTATCCTACAAACAAAAACTAGATAAACTACGAGACATAAATAGTCTTTAGTAAAATTAACAATGCCTTTAATATTATTATTCCTAAACAACAGTGTTTATTATAATAATATACTTGATATCCATGAAAAAATTGCTATTAACGTTATTTTCCTTTTTTTTTTCTTTATTATAAAAAGTAATGTTATCTTCATAATCAGTTGATAATAATTATTAATGATGTATTTCCCTCTAATGATATCAATAGATATGAAAATTATTGCCAATATTTAGTTTTGTTGTTCAGTTGTATCATATCATTCGGTACATGAGTGTTATGTTCTTAGTGACATTGTAATTAAAAAACGTAGTTAGTGGTTTCGGATTTGTTTAAATAATGTTTTTTAATCTCAAGTGCTTCAGTAAATTGGAATAATGATGGGGACTAGATACAAATGTTTAGTTACTGTGTTCTTGATTTTATTAGCTTCCCCGGAAATTAGTCATGGTAAGTACTTTTGGATTTACGTTACGTACTTATGTGCAAGTTTTTCTGATACATGTAGTTTCCCAATTGATTCATGGTTGATAAATGAACTATCATTTTTTTATAAAAAAAATTACAGGCTGTGAAATGGAAGGCGTGATTTTCTGGCACTTTTGGCAAGACGTTTCAATTCAAGATGTTTTCGAAGGTGTTGTCGTTAACAGATCTACTTCAAATATTTTAGGTAAACATTCGTGTTGTAAACCGTTTACACGTGGAACGGGCGGATTCAAGTTCAATGCAGCAAAGGATTTAATTATTTCTAACACTATTTCTTATCAACAATTAATCTATAACGAACCGCATGTTTGTTTCTCTGTTCTGTTCGGGGTAGTTGCGGGGCTGTGAAACTCAATTGACTTGAGACAACTTTAACATCAGCCCATCACATAACTATTTATAATTTTTTCTTACTTTCAAAATGAACTAACTAAGCTGACTTTGGATTTGTCTTCGCCCGGATTAGATAATAACTAACTAATTAAAACATTAAAAAAAATATTGCAAATAAAACATTTCACAAATTGACGATGACTTAATTAGTAGATATTTGAATCTTTGGACGCAAAGTCGACAACATCCATCTTTTCAGTCATAAGTCAACCGCAGTACTGCATTTGTTATGTATTCTAGTTATAAGTACTTTAGCTTTTAAAAACAATGAAAACAGGCAGTACTAAGTTACATATTTGTTTAACCAAAATCAATTCATCTGCAAACTCTTATGGCGAATAATAACTGCTAGACAAAACGTCTATTGCGAAAACTCAAATGAGCTCTTACTACAAAAATATACAAGTAAATGTTTCTGAAAACCCCTTATTGGAGCAATAAACAAAGGAATATATTTTGTCTATATTAGGAACCAATATATCTTTATGTATACTAATACCTATTAGAAGAGGTAAGATTCAAGTGTTTACATTGAATTAACTACAAAAGTAATGGACCAATTTTAAAAATTCTTTCATCTATGGTAAGCTCTATCATACGCGGATATCAAAGGCTATAATTTACACAACCGAAGGCACGGGAAAACAGTCTGTGTAAAATATAAAGGTTAAATACATCATGATGCTTCCTGGATAGGTTTAGTTTATGAACTTTAGTTGATTAAAATTTGAAAACTAAACAATATATGAAATATATTTTTGAAGTAATACACCTAAACCATACGGCTTTCTGCATATAGTATTTTATATAACATCGATATATATAAAAGGCAAACCTAACTGACATATATATCAACGCACAGCCGAAACTACTATTCCTAGAAACTTAGAATTTTGTACAAAGTTTCCTTTCATGATGTAAGTGAGCACTAAGAAATAATTTTTAGAAATTCAACCCCTAAGGGGGTTAATAAAGTGGTAAAATTTGTATGGATTTTTTCATTTCTGGACTTAAACGTGTGAAATTTAGACCACGCGGGCGAAACTCATAATACACTTCCGTTTTTAATATGAAAAGGAATCAACAATGTTAGGCGGGTGTAGAAGATTATTTTCTAGGCACATACTATTTAATGCATTAGGACATCTTATGAAAATAATGGACTCGCTCAGTGAGGATCAATATGCCGATTTTTGTCGGGTGCGCGTCATTTGTTATATCAAATTTTCTATCAATTAACACAATGTTCAAAACGCCTAAAAAAAATTCATATAACAATTTGTATAACGTTCATTCGTCTTAATTTTTTTAATTTATTTCTAATACGAATGGACGGCATTATATGTTATATAATGTTTAGATTAAAATACATAAATTATTATGCAAGATTTTTTTTTTCATTTTAATTTTAGAGAATTTTTATTTTAGCTTTTCTGGAACAATAAATGGGACGCTTTCTCATGGTGCTCGACGCAAATAAGTTTTGAATCGAAATGATCAAATATAATAGTGAACTTAAGTAATTTATCTATACTAATATTATAAAGCTGAAGAGTTTGTTTGTTTGTTTGAACGCGCTAATCTCAGGAACTACTGGTTCGAATTGAAAAATTATTTTTGCGTTGAATAGATCATTTATCGAGGAAGGCTTTAGGCTATATAACATTACGCTGCAACTATTAGGAGCGAAGAAATAATGGAAAACGCCGACGAAGTCGCTGGCGGCCACTAGTTTCTGATATAAGGAATAAACACCTGAGCGGGTTAGCGAATACACAGTATTACATGATTATTAAAAATATTAGACCGAATTTATATTAGTAAGTCATTACATAAATATTTTTTTATTGACCATTTGGGAAAACTAAACGAACTGACATTAAAAAATGAATTTTGATGCATCTATGTGACAATTATTTTTAATTTCGAAAATAATAATAAGAAATGATATTTGATATTAGAGATATATTTAAATTTAAAGAACCTGGGAATACGATAAACGGCATCCTCAGACGTGCCAAAATTACACTGGCTAAAAAGTATAAAATTTTGCAAATTTAAGTTTATAGAACAAGTGCAGGATGCTATTATTATATTTAATAATATTTCAAAAAATTTATAAAAAAACTGTTATTGTGTAGAGTTTCGTGACAGAATATACAGAAAATCTTGTTGTTGATGAATGATGTTGAAAACCTTATATACTGCCACATTAAAATAAAATAATTAATATACTATTATACTACAAAACATTTACAGAACAAAGACATCAAATTTTACATTTGCAATTTTCAACAACATCAGGAATGGTGTAACTTTCCGTACCAGAAAGAATTTTTAAAATCAAACAATCAAAGCTTTCCTTTTTATAATACAAGTAGAGATTAATGATCATTGTCGATTATACCTATATATTAATTATTTCATCTGTTTTGATAATATCATAATTTTTTCTTAATTGAAAATTTTATATTTTCTTTTCTTCGTTTTGTAAAAAATATTTTGCTATTACTAATATAATTTAATATAAGTTAATTGTAAACTTTTAGGAATACAAAGTGTGACACAAACTTTAACTAATCGCGGACCATATATGGAAGTCTTGATGTTAGACTCCTTTTTTATAATACGAACAAACGAATCGTTCAAATATTATGAGGAATATGAGACTTCACATCAAATTAGTGTCGCTACAACATTTAATTGTGTTGGAGGATCTACAAATTCATTGGTAGGTAATAGAAATAAATAAACTGTCTTTATTATCTGTGGAGACAGTTCTCCACAAATAATAAAGACGATTCTGACTCGCACTGGATGGTTTTTTATATTCTTAAATATTTTTTTTCGTACATTGCCAATTTATTGCGAAAACTAGACTAAATTTCGGTTTTATCCTGTTAATTATATAAATGACTAACATTCAGTTGCACAAAGATCCATTAAAGTTTACATTGGTTTAAAGCAACACTACCCATACAAATTTGACATCCATTAAAGCTTAAAGGCAGCATTAAACCTTAATGGAAGTTTGTGCAACTGACCGTAAGATTAATAAAGATGATGGCTTATCAGTCCTTTAACTTACAGTTTATAAATAGGCTTTACACAGGAGTTACAATAATGATCCTTTTGGTGTACGCTAATAAGCACAGCTAATAAGCGATGGATTTGCTAAGTGCACTTGTATGTGCTATTAGTATGAAAAATCCGTTCCACAAATGAATGACTAATTTGATCACATAAGTGCGATGTAATACTAATTATCTCAATAACAATAATACTTATCTCATCTTACAGTCGAGTCATTTAACTTATGCAATTTTATGTTTTATATGAAACAATCAAAACAAACTTTGCTTTTTTACAGACTTTCATTATAACGGTTAATGACACAAATAACAACGACCCCATATTTAGGCCGGACGATGTATATGAATTTACAATGATACCACCATTGCCACCAGGATTTCAAATTACCAATAATCTTAATCAAATATTAGTAAGAGATATAGACCTTACGACTCAAAGGATAAATTTCGAAATTTTAGATAACTCGTATTTCATAATTGATTATGATGCGTCGTCGACGACTCCTAAAGAATTTTTAGCATCCTTAAAAACAACAACATTCATAAGGAATATTCCGGAGACTATCGAATTCATAATAAGTGCAACGGTAAGACTACATAACATTCAAATTAATTAAATTATGATTTCATAATCTAAATAGTATAATTTTGAAAATATTCCAGGATGTGGATTTAACTGGTGATCCACGCCGAACGAGTAATGCCACAATACGAATTCAAAGTGACGGCTCGTTTGAATTGCCTGAAGAGTTAGTTTTTTCACAAACTTTTTACTTGGCCGATTATACAGAAGAAAATCAAATAAGACTACAGGAACCAATCACACTGCAGCAAGGCTACCACGAACAAGTGACGTTTTCACTGGTTTCAGGTATAAGCATTTTAGACGAGCATTAAAACTTATTATCGAGAATATGTAAAGACAACGGATTTTTTTTAATTAACTCACGTTTAATTTCAGATGAGAATTCAATATATTTTGAAATTGAACCAAATGGCAACGACGTTACATTTAATGTTGTTAAGCCAATACCAGCCGATGTATTAGCACTCAGAAAGCTTTTTATAATAGTGAGAGCTGATAGAGAACTTACTAGTGGTACAAGCGCCACCATTGTTGTACAGTTACCTGAAGGTAGGTTCTGTTGATTTTCTATAACTAGTAAAAAATTTGGTGCAAATTGTCAAAAGTACTTTTACTTCAAAATACAAAAAAAAAAAATTACTATTTTGTTAACACTGGCATTGATTTGGTAATTTTCCATATATTGTATAAATATTACTAACTACAAAGAGCTTATAAGATAAAAAGACGTCATGGATTAATATTAAACATTAAGCATCAGACAACACCACATGCATTGCTCTGATCCCAAGACGAATAGCTAAAGTCCCCATATTAAGAAGTATCTGAGACAACGAAGATACACAACACTCAGTCCCAATATGATATTTCATAAGGATTTTTGACATATTTATTTAATAAACTATATTATTTGATGAGGATAAAAAGGTCAATTTCACTTACAGTAATAAATCTTCGATTTGAAAAGCCTATCTACGAAGGAGCCATCATTGACAACACTTTGGAACTTACAAAGCTGATTTTATCTCAAGGCTATGAAAATCAAATGATTTCTGTCGATATACAAAGTGGTTTGTATTGATTTTATATTGAAATAATTAAGACCTACTGTGCGTTATGTATGTTTTTATGGTTTCTACAAAACTTTTAAGCTATATGAAAAGGGTTTTTTTTTTCATTCCCATAATTTCCTCGAAATGACTATACGAAAAAGTAAGAAACTCAATTGTCACAGTATATGATATCGACCTAAAGAATATCTCAAAAAATTAAATAACTGAAATTTTTTTATTTTCTATCTTGAAAGGTTTTTAAGTAATTCAATCTCCCTTTCAGAATACGCATCTAACTTTGACTATAATGTTTTGGAGAATCAGATAACAATAATTATGTCACCCCTTAGCAATGACATCATTAACCAAAACACATTTCTGAATTTAAAAGTGATCGCTTCGACTAGTCTCAGTTCAGCATCGAGTGTCATTACCTTAGAGATAGTCAAAGATGATTTAACGACTCCTGCTTTTGAACGAGCATTATATAAAGGCACTTACGACGTTGTTGATGGATTAACATTGGGAGAAATTGTATTAATTCAAGGCTTTGATGATTCTGTTCAACTATCATTACAAGGAGGTAGTTATTATAGTTCAAATAACTATTATAATTATTTTTTTGAACATAGTAACACATTTTTTTTTTAAATATAGTACACAGAGACTTGTTTCAAATGAGCCCACCTGGACCAAATATATACCTGACAGTTTCGTCTATACCTGTTGAGATATTTAAAGAACAACAGATATTATTGACTATCGAAGCTACTAAACCTAGAACTGTTGGAGCCAGTACTGCAATATCTATCTCTTTACCTCCAGGTAAATAATCTAATCATAGTATATATATATACCTTATTAAGAAATTATTCATTGTTATTGATCCTTGAGCGAGTGGCTCACGCACTGGTTTCATGGTATAGCCATATTCGCCGCTTCATATACTTAACATTACAATTGCTTTAACTACTCATCTTGAAATAAGAGCAACACATATGATGTTGTTTATATTTGATTGACTCATTTTACGATATACTAACAAAGTAGATTAATATCATTATATTTTACAGAAATCCTACTAAAATTTGAACATCAAAACTATAACGGGAAAATTATTGACAATATTCTCGAGCTTAATGACCTTGTTCTGAGTCAAGGCTATGAATCTGAAAACATAATTATCGACATAGAACATGGTAATTGTCTTTGATTTATTTTCTATTACTTGTTATATTCATAACCTAAATGTATGGTAACCGCTAATTATTTAATTGCAGAATATGCTTCTTCCTTTAGCTATATAATCAATGGAAACAGTATAACACTATTGATGTCACCACTCGACGCTAATGTTATTCGGGAAAATACATTTTTAAATTTATTAGTGTTTGCTACCACTGATCGTAGTTCAGCATCAACTGTAGTAACATTAGAAATTGTTAAAAACGATAAAACGACACCCATCTTCGAGCACTCTTTATATAGTGGGTATTATGATCCTATAGAAGGATTAAGTATTATCGACATCGTTATCAGTCAAGGCTACGATGACAGTGTTGATGTTGTGCTAACTGGAGGTAAGATGGACTTTATGTTAATTGTAGCATGAGCATAGGCGTATATCTTTCAACTTGGAAAGAAACATGGGTAGAACATAGGTCACATTCAACCACGCAGGTTCAATATGGTTTGATGGATACTAACGACTGCAGATGCAACTAGGACCAGTGGCTTAACGTACCTTACGAAACACGGTTGAACTCGTTTTGGTTACCAATCCGATAACCGGCCTTTAAGAAGTTGCAGAGTGGATATCTAACTTTTTCTTTTTTGTTTGATGTACACTGATCATTGAAAATTAACTCTTTTACGATCTTTTTCTGGTCTAGAGCCGTCACTATTTCTATAGCCCCGGGTTCAATTGTTTTTGATTTAACACAAGTTCAAAATTAAAATTAGGGTCCATGTATATCTAACGAAAGATGAGCGGCGAGCCGTTTAGTTAATTTTTAGACACACAGTCAATAACTGCCAGAATATATATGCCTCGTGTGTACATAAGTTTTGAGGGGAAAAAAAAAGTTGCGTAACTTTTTTAATAATTAACTTATATTTCTAAAATTTTAAGTAACCATTCAATAGATAATCAACATTAAAATATATATTTTATTCAAAATGACTGCCCTTGCTTTCAATAGTCCCTTAGACGATTTGGCCAGTCATCAATGGCGGCACGAATCTTTTCTAGCGGAATTTGCTTTGCTTCTCGAAAAAGGGTTCGCTTCAGTGACTCCAAGCTTGGGTGGGACTTTCGGCAGGCCCTGAGGTCTAATTAAGTGCATAAAAAATAATTCATAAAGAAAAGTCGGGGAGGAAGGCCACTCACCCGCCGCGATGAAACCCGACACATTCTCCCTCAACCAAGCTTGGATGCCTTTTTCCTTATAGGATGGCGCCGAGACTTGCTGAAAAACCTAATCCTTATTGTGAAATAACGTATCAGACAGGGGTTTCGCCACGGGCTCTAAAATGTCACTCTGATAATTTTTAGCTTTCACCTTGACACCTTGTTGACAGAAATGGAACAGAGCGAACTTTCATACGAAACTACCATCACATTAGTCGGATGATGAGTGCGCTAGACATTCTATGCAGAAGCTGGGACATCCTTGATACTTTGAGCGTACACTTTATTGTTTTGTCGGTTGAAGTTTTTTTCGATAGTAAAAATTTTCTCGTCGGTGAAGAGTATCTTCCTGGCATCAGAAGACGATCGTTTAAAAAGCAAACTTTACTACGGCTATAGGCCTCTACCTTTATTCCTTTGGCGATCTTGCAGAGAACTTTTCTTTTTGCACCGCTGTATTGTGTAATAGACGAATTTACGGCTTACTGGAAAGCTCGCAGAAAATCTGCATCGGTTTTTTTCCCGCCTTAAATAGCGAAATGACAGTTGCACGTGATTGTTTCATTCCCTCCATCACGAGAAAATATAAACAAATGAATTTGCGATACGAATAAACTAAAACGTTGACATTCCAAAATTCAAAATCGGTAAAAAAAGAACAGCCAGTAATATTTTATTTTATTTTTTCAGTAAAAAGTTTATCCCAAAACTTATGAACACACGAGGTTATAACATTTTGATTACATTTTCATATACCACCCTGAATAGTGTTATAAATAGAGCAACAGGGGTTTTGACAGGGTTTGCGCACCTGTTAAAATTAATAGCCTTGAACGTGCTGATAAATGGACCACTACTGTTACTTTTTGTTATCGAATAAAAATCCAATACGAATAGTTTACGATTTACTATGTATCGCCTCTTAGATACTTATTAAACTTTAAAATTTATTTCACGATTAGTAATTATATTCTTCTATATGTATATATAAAAGTGAAAGGTTACCCATTCACTCACTCACTCGTCAGAAAATATTTTTACAAATGATAAATTGCGGTGAAACCAAGTTTATCCGTGCACTAATTTAATAGTTATTAAATACATAAGTGTAAAAATACAATTTGCTATTGATAAAAATAGTTTAGAAAAAAATGTGAATTTCGGCCCTGGAATAAATATTATATATAAAAAAAACAATGAGTGACAAGCTTTTATACTTTAAAGATGGATTCAATTTACTAAAAAGTATAACATAAATTTTATACTTTTTAGAACATTAAACTTGAAAAAAGCTCGATTTATTTGTTTATCGTTAGTTATTTTACCGTAATTTTCTTAGGGAACCCTTCATTTGATATCCATTATGAGAGTACAATTTTAACGAGTCCACCTTCATAGGTGGTTCTCCTAATTTAATTTAGAATTATATAATTTTTCTTATCAAACCTTTTGAATTGGTCTAATCATGACTGCAAGAAAATATATAACTAAGCCGATATCTTAGGTTACCCGCTTCATTAGATTTAAAATAAAGTAACTTATCTTACTAAACATAGTCATCTCAAATAAACCTGTATACACAATTTCTTGCTAAAATTTAGTTGCAAGATGTGGCGATCATGCATATGCAAGTTTAAAAAAGCTTCTCAAAAGCACTTTATTAGAAAAACACTTCTGTGTTAAATTTATTATTATAAATGTTTAAATTGGCGGTCGTGGGTAAGCGCATTACTTGAATAGGATCAGACTAATTGATAACAGTTAGTTAACATATTTTAATGTTCCGAGTTCGAGTTTTAAATAAACTCAGAAAACTTTATTTAAAATACAGTAGTCTGACTAATCTATCATCTCAAAGTTATTGGATACATACGTTTGACCAAAAACAATTGTTATATTATCATCTTATTTCAAAACATGTTTTATTATTTTTTTATGTCGCAAAAAACCAATTTACAATAAATAATATAAAAAAATACTTGTTTTGTTATTTAATATTTGTGAGGAACATTCTCCAAGCAATCCATATGATTTTTTAATTTAATGAAATTTAGTAGATAGTAGGTTTTGGGGGTGATAAATTTGAATTTTGATAAATTTTAAATTTGAAAATAAATTGAAAAAATCCCGAGCTAAGCTCAGTCATCGAGTTATGTAATATGTATTACAATGTCATTTCTAATCAATTGTAAATACTTAATTAAATTGACCATTGATGGAATATTATTAAGACTTTTATTTACCCCGTAATATATCGCCATATTATATCTTTTATTATTACATTATGTTCTTATTTGATTTTTGTTTTAGTTCACTCAGATTACTTTCAACTCAATGAAACTGGTCCAAATATTAATTTGGAATTGAAAGCGTCCAGTCTCCCACCTCAACTCTACTCTGAAAGGCATATATTCTTAACTATTGCAGCGACGAAACCGCGAACCGTTGGTGCTAATGCAGCCATTGTTATCACTTTACCATCAGGTAGTTTTTTTCTAGTAATACATACCAAAGAAACGAAAATATTTTATAAATGGATAAAACAAATAATACCAACAAAAACATAACCAGCAGTAATCATTACTAACCACTACTTGAAATTGTTAACTACACGACTTGATAAAATTATACTTATTCTTAATTTCTTCTAACTTGCTAACTTCGTAAATGAAAAAGATATCAATAAATCAGTATTTTCACAATAAATCAGTATTTTTGTTGGACAGTTCCAAAGAGGTCGATGACCGTTTATTGCCCATTAACTTTACTAGTTTACATTCACTAGTATTAAAATAAATATTTAAATTTCTATTACTATATATATTATTTTCTATATACGAAGATATATTATTTTTCTAATTCGTATTAAAAATTTCTAAATCAATATTATTTTTTTATATTTTTTTACCTAAAATATTTTAACACATAATGCCGTGGATGAATTTTCTTTATAGGTTTAAAGTTTAATTTTATTTTTTTTTTTATTTCAGCTATAGAATTGGAATTTTTACAAGATACTAATTTTGGCACCATAAGGGAAAACGAATTAAGTATTGACACTATTATATTAAGTATATATACGGATGATGTAGAACTTAATCTTACTGGAGGTAAGTAATCGTAGAATCTAAAGTCATGTGAATAATTAACTACATAAACATCCGTTATGTGAGGGCCCTATTACATTTCGACTGGGATTTTTGTTTTTTTTTTTTTTGTCATTCTTGATCTCAGAATCAAAAATTTTCACTTATTTGATTGTCAGAATAACAATGAGCAAAGTTTGTAGCGCCTTTACTTTTTTGTAAATTGCGCTTAACTTTTTAATTACACGCAAAATTGCAGAGAAAACATTATGTTTTTAGGGGCACTTGATGGAGCTATTGTTTTAAACAAATGAAATTAAAAAAGAGGATGTTAACTCTTATATAATCGTATAGTCTGTGGCGGCCTCGAAATTTTCAGCTAACAAAAATAAATCAAAAAACTTCGGAAATGACTTTAACTCACCTATATGTTGTTTTCTATTTACGATGTTATTGAACAAAATTTCAGAATGATGATTACTTCATAAGGAACAATTATTCCATATTTTTAAGCACATATTTATTATCCTATTTCAATAAAAAACGATAAATATAATTGCAAAATTCCTACAAAATACGATGCACCGGCCATCCGAGCTCAGTTTGTTGGGTCATGTAGCAAGTTTGTTTCTATTCGATAGCATTTTAGTTTCTTTTTTTCCGAATAAATGTTATAACTAATAACCATTATAGTTGTACAATAAGATCAAAGGTAAAAGAAAGTAATATTTAATCACAATCATAATAAGATGTAATCTATAAATTAAATCAGTACTTTTTAAATCCTTACAGAATATAAAAACCATTTCAAGGTAACAAGACTAGATAGCCAAATAACAATGGAGATGATAGAAAAACTACCGGAAAACATTGTATTAGAAAATGATTTTATCGTTTTATCTCTTGGTGCGTCCGCAACGAACGCTATTAATGCAAGAACCACTGTATTACTTGACATTGAGAAAGAAGACTTCACTACACCAATATTCAATGAAAAAATATATACTGTCGATTATTTAACACCCTCAAGTTTAAATGTTCCAAGTATATTCTTGACACAAGGTTACGACGACGACACCGTATCGTTCCGTATCACAGGAAGTAAGTAAAGTGTAATTATTAATTTATATATAAACTCGATTTTAGACCTTAACATATTGAGGATAAGAGGTCTTCATCTATTGCAGAAATTTAATATGCTGTGATAACATGATGTGCAGCTGTATGTACAATAGGCACTATTAACGCACCTAAAAAGGTTTCACTTAGCAGGAGCTGTTTTCGATTAATTAAATGTTGATATTTGAGAAGACATGATCAACGTTTACTTTAAACACATGAACTAATCATATTTCGCTAATATCTATTAATTTGTTATAATATATCAAATTCAAATACTCCAACATGTCTTCAAAACTTTTGATGAAAAGCAAATTCTCAAAAAAGGAACTTGACATTATTTACAGAGACTATATAATTTTGAAATTAGACTTGATGTGCTAGTATAGATGATACTTACGGTGGATGGGATACCTAAATAATTTAGTAATAGGCGCAACTGCTTTGTTTTAATATATAAAATATCCACTTATGTATATTATTACCATAAGATTAGATTTCCAATCTTAAATAAAGTATGATAACTTCGAACAAATAATACAAACAATTACTGGCCTTTTTTCAAAATCAAAACTAAACATGTTGATATGTAACATACAAACGCTTACATGCATGCACACATTCATACACATAACACAAACATGCACACAACACAAGCGCCTACACACAAACACATAGACGCACACACAAATCACAGGAATTATAGTCTCTACCCGTTGTTTTATTAATATTTACACTTTGATATAAATATTTGCAATGTACATAAGAGTAGCCTACCTCTTGTAACACAGGGTTACCTTATATGTATGAGAGAAGTCACATTTATTACTGAAAAATGTGAAGAAAAAAAAATTACAAATTCAAATTTTTATTTAATTTAAGTAACTGATTCTTGTATTTTATTAAATATTTTTCAGATAATTCTGAATATTTTACTATTAACCCATCTGGAAATAATGTGGAGTTAGCAATACAAAAGACAATTCCTGAGGAACTTATTTTCGAAGAAAAAGTTTTGATATTTAATATTATAGCTGAAAAACCATTAACTGTCGGAGCCAGAGCAGCTATTTCTGTATATTTTCCAATTGGTGAGTTTGTATATTTATTTGTATTTGTACTAGAAATAAATTATAATACTGACATTTGTTCTATTTTTAATATACGTTCATTTTATTTCAGAACTGACTGAGCCAACGGCATTGGCTTTTTCAAAGACATTTTATACAGGAACATTAGAACAACATTATTTAAAAATGGAAAATATTGAACTTAGTGTAGGCTTCACAACTAATACAGAATTCAAAATTAACGGAGGTAACTAAACAAATATTTTCAAATATTTCAATTCTTATTCTTTACAGATCAAAACTTGTTAATAATCTTCAAATGCTATTTCATATTGTTTTATGTTACTTACGACATGAGTATTAATCGAACTTACTATTTACTTATTATAGCCTATGAAGACTACTTCGAAGTCCATAATGAAGGAAACATTCTGAACATCTCTCAAAAAAGTAAATTACCTTCGGAGGTGCTTAACTTTAAATTCATTGCACTTGAACTACGAGCACAAAGGGAAAGAGCGGTTCCAGTATCAGCAACAATTATTGTGGATATTATACAACCTGATCCTGTTACAGTGCCCGTGTTTAGTGCGCCATTCTATAGAGCAGCATATACAGAAGAAAAAGGACTACAGTTCGAAACAGATATAGTTTTATCTCGAGGGTTTGATGACAGCGTAACTTTTGAATTGGAAGAAGGTAGAAAGCTTCATAAAATCGAAGTAACATATTTCATTTCACTCTAGGAGATGAAATTCAAAAATAACATATATGGTTTCTCTCATTACCCTCGTATGATACGATATCAATTACGATACAGTCTGCGAATGTAACTTCCCAATTCTATGTTGTATCTCAAATGCGTTTTTTTGTTAATTTTTGTATAAATATAACATTTCTCTTACTTTACTTAACTTCAGCCCTCGTTGGATATATTTAATATAATGTTATTTAATTTTGAACATTTTGTGGTAATTAAAGATCACGTAGGCAAACTTTTCTTTTCAGAATACAGAGACTGGTTTGATGTGACAAATTATGACAACTTGGTATTGATTTCTTTAAAAAAAATACCAGCAAATGTTTTGGAATCTAAACAAAACTTAGTATTTTCTATAGTTGCTGTTAAACCTGGTGCTATTAATGGTATTGCAACAATAGTTATAGATCTGCCTACAGGTAAGTAAATAATTAATTATATTTAATTTGATTTAGAAATACAAGACGAAAATATATACCTTTCCAAATTATCAAGTGCAAATCGAGTATGCCAATTTCCCTTACGGAAAATAATATTTCCAATACCAAAATTTGCGGCGGTAGGAAATCAATTAAAAATCGAGGTGGTTCGGACTATGGGCTGTTCTCAGTGTAGAAAGTATATAGTAATCATACAACCATACAACCAATTATTGATAACATGATTACTATACTGGTACAAAAATCAAAATCATCGTTCCAAACACAAAAATTGATAATATTTAGAAAAACGAAACTCACATCATACGATCTATTTTTTTTTTAATTTGTAATGTACTTTATATGGAATATGAACAATTTGTGAGTCAACCTAAGGTTTCATATCAACTAATTGGTAAGTAGTACAATCATTTCCACATTTAAAATTATCTAATTCGTTATCATCATAGTTACCTTGTAAAATAAAATAGAAACTTATATGGTTTTATCCAGAATTTTTATCACATATTTTATTGACATTATAACGGAAATTAAACTATTTAGAGTTTGGCGACCTGCCCTGTAATTCTGTAAAAATCCAGACCTGAATTCTAATTCATACATATGTTCTGAATTCACTTCTAAAAGTGGCATTCGTTGTGGGGTAATTTATTAATAAGGATAATTAGCTAAACTATATTTTTTCGTTAAATCCCGCACTGCGCACAGGACTTAAATCATATACATAAATTAATATTAAATTTGTATAACCCATTTGTAATATTGCCCGTGGTAAGAAATAAAGTTTTAGTTATTTACATAATTAACGTAAATACGATAAATAATGAAATGAAAATTTATAAAAGAGATGATAAAAATAAATACAATTTTCTATTTTTATCATAAATGATGAACATATAAATTCATATGTATATCTATCAAATTTATCTGTTTCTAATTACATGCATGTTAATAGACGTAAACACCGGACAAATTCTCTTCTTCGAACGCAATCATTACTTGGGCTCGATAGAAGGAAACAATGTTACGCTGCCAGCGATCGTTCTAAACGAAGGATTTACATCAGAAGTTCAATTCTCACTAGTCGGAGGTGCGTAATTTGCAGAAAAAACAGTCATCGTCTGTCCTATCAAAACACATTTTATATCAACAATTAACATCTGACACATTCCAGATTTCCAACCCTTCTTCGACGTCTCGAATGACCTGGAAACTGTCACGATCACTTTGGAAAATTCCATCCCCGACGATTTGATACCACCCAACAGTCTCATAATAGTACAACTTCAAGCAACAGCACCGTCAGCTTTGCCGGCTTATACAACAATCATATTGGAAATAATCCAAGAAGATGATGACCCGCCGACTGCTGTCGATCTAGTATTCGATGAAACTTACTACGTCGGAAGTTATACAGCAACGGGCGGCCTTCAGTTCGACGGACTCATTTCCCTAGCGGAAGGCTACGACGAGAACGTTCAGTTTTATCTTGAGGGAGGTTAGATACGTCCTTAGAAATATCAATATTTTCATCCTTAACGTGGAGTAAACTCTGATAGCATAATGGTATTTCTTGCTTTCAGAGAGCGCTCAATGGTTCGACCTGGAAAGAGTTGATAAAGGTGCGAAATTGGTACTGCATAATCCCATTCCACCAGCAGTGTTAGCCAATAACCAACAGCTTCTCTTTGTCATCCGTGCAGAGCGTCACACTGCTACTGCTCGTGCAACCATCGTTGTCCTGCTCACGGAGGGTAAATAATTAATCATATTTATTCGAAGCACATGAATTATATATTTATTTACCGCTTTTTATCTTTCATATTGCTTCATGCGATTCTTTATATGGGTGTTTGCAGACGTAAGTGCAGGACAAATTCTTGGCTTCGAACGCATTAATTACTTGGGCTCGATAGAAGGAAACAATGTTACGCTGCCAGCGATCGTTCTTAACGAAGGATTTACATCAGAAGTTCAATTCTCACTAGTCGGAGGTGCGTAATTTGCAGCCAAACAGTCATCGTCTGTCCTATCGAAACAACTTTTTATATCAACAATTAACATCTGACACATTCCAGATTTCCAACCCTTCTTCGACGTCTCGAATGACCTGGAAACTGTCACGATCACTTTGGAAAATTCCATCCCCGACGATTTGATACCACCCAACAGTCTCATAATAGTGCAACTTCAAGCAACAGCTCCGTCAGCTTTGCCGGCTTATACAACAATCATATTGGAAATAATCCAAGAAGATGATGACCCGCCGACTGCTGTCGATCTAGTATTCGATGAAACTTACTACGTCGGAAGTTATACAGCAACGGGCGGCCTTCAGTTCGACGGACTCATTTCCCTAGCGGAAGGCTACGACGAGAACGTTCAGTTTTATCTTGAGGGAGGTTAGATACGACCTTAGAAATCTCAATATTTTTCATCCTTAACGTGTAGTAAACTCTGATAGCATAATGGTATTTCTTGCTTTCAGAGAGCGCTCAATGGTTCGACCTGGAAAGAGTTGATAAAGGTGCGAAATTGGTACTGCATAATCCCATTCCACCAGCAGTGTTAGCCAATAACCAACAGCTTCTCTTTGTCATCCGTGCAGAGCGTCACACTGCTACTGCTCGTGCAACCATCGTTGTCCTGCTCACGGAGGGTAAATAATTAATCATATTTATTCGAAGCACATGAATTATATATTTATTTACCGCTTTTTATCTTTCATATTGCTTCATGCGATTCTTTATATGGGTGTTTGCAGACGTAAGTGCAGGACAAATTCTTGGCTTCGAACGCATTAATTACTTGGGCTCGATAGAAGGAAACAATGTTACGCTGCCAGCGATCGTTCTTAACGAAGGATTTACATCAGAAGTTCAATTCTCACTAGTCGGAGGTGCGTAATTTGCAGCCAAACAGTCATCGTCTGTCCTATCGAAACAACTTTTTATATCAACAATTAACATCTGACACATTCCAGATTTCCAACCGTTCTTCGACGTCTCGAATGACTTGGAAACTGTCACGATCACTTTGGAAAATGCCATCCCCGACGATTTGATACCACCCAACAGGCTCATAATAGTACAACTTCAAGCAACAGCTCCGTCAGCTTTGCCGGCTTATACAACAATCATATTGGAAATAATCCAAGGAGATGATGACCCGCCGACTGCTGTCGATCTAGTATTCGATGAAACTTACTACGTCGGAAGTTATACAGCAACGGGCGGCCTTCAGTTCGACGGACTCATTTCCCTAGCGGAAGGCTACGACGAGAACGTTCAGTTTTATCTTGAGGGAGGTTAGATACGTCCTTAGAAATCTCAATATTTTTCATCCTTAACGTGGAGTAAACTCTGATAGCATAATGGTATTTCTTGCTTTCAGAGAGCGCTCAATGGTTCGACCTGGAAAGAGTTGATAAAGGTGCGAAATTGGTACTGCATAATCCCATTCCACCAGCAGTGTTAGCCAATAACCAACAGCTTCTCTTTGTCATCCGTGCAGAGCGTCACACTGCTACTGCTCGTGCAACCATCGTTGTCCTGCTCACGGAGGGTAAATAATTAATCATATTTATTCGAAGCACATGAATTATATATTTATTTACCGCTTTTTATCTTTCATATTGCTTCATGCGATTCTTTATATGGGTGTTTGCAGACGTAAGTGCAGGGCAAATTCTTGGCTTCGAACGCATTAATTACTTGGGCTCGATAGAAGGAAACAATGTTACGCTGCCAGCGATCGTTCTTAACGAAGGATTTACATCAGAAGTTCAATTCTCACTAGTCGGAGGTGCGTAATTTGCAGCCAAACAGTCATCGTCTGTCCTATCGAAACAACATTTTATATCAACAATTAACATCTGACACATTCCAGATTTCCAACCCTTCTTCGACGTCTCGAATGACCTGGAAACTGTCACGATCACTTTGGAAAATGCCATCCCCGACGATTTGATACCACCCAACAGTCTCATAATAGTGCAACTTCAAGCAACAGCTCCGTCAGCTTTGCCGGCTTATGCAACAATCATATTGGAAATAATCCAAGAAGATGATGACCCGCCGACTGCTGTCGATCTAGTATTCGATGAAACTTACTACGTCGGAAGTTATACAGCAACGGGCGGCCTTCAGTTCGACGGACTCATTGCCCTAGCGGAAGGCTACGACGAGAACGTTCAGTTTTATCTTGAGGGAGGTTAGATACGTCCTTAGAAATATCAATATTTTTCATCCTTAGCGTGGAGTAAACTCTGATAGCATAATGGTATTTCTTGCTTTCAGAGAGCGCTCAATGGTTCGACCTGGAAAGAGTTGATAAAGGTGCGAAATTGGTACTGCATAATCCCATTCCACCAGCAGTGTTAGCCAATAACCAACAGCTCCTCTTTGTCATCCGTGCAGAGCGTCACACTGCTACTGCTCGTGCAACCATCGTTGTCCTGCTCACGGAGGGTAAATAATTAATCATATTTATTCGAAGCACATGAATTATATATTTATTTACCGCTTTTTATCTTTCATATTGCTTCATGCGATTCTTTATATGGGTGTTTGCAGACGTAAGTGCAGGGCAAATTCTTGGCTTCGAACGCATTAATTACTTGGGCTCGATAGAAGGAAACAATGTTACGCTGCCAGCGATCGTTCTAAACGAAGGATTTACATCAGAAGTTCAATTCTCACTAGTCGGAGGTGCGTAATTTGCAGCCAAACAGTCATCGTCTGTCCTATCGAAACAACTTTTTATATCAACAATTAACATCTCACACATTCCAGATTTCCAACCCTTCTTCGACGTCTCGAATGACTTGGAAACTGTCACGATCACTTTGGAAAATGCCATCCCCGACGATTTGATACCACCCAACAGTCTCATAATAGTACAACTTCAAGCAACAGCTCCGTCAGCTTTGCCGGCTTATACAACAATCATATTGGAAATAATCCAAGAAGATGATGACCCGCCGACTGCTGTCGATCTAGTATTCGATGAAACTTACTACGTCGGAAGTTATACAGCAACGGGCGGCCTTCAGTTCGACGGACTCATTTCCCTAGCCGAAGGCTACGACGAGAAC